CTAACAGCTTCAGAATTTCACGAATTGATTCAGATTTTTATAAAACCACTTCTGAACACATTTCTTTTTTTGAATTCCAGATTTTTCATAAACAAAAGCATTGAAATTTTGGATTTCTACAAACTCCATAGCTTTCAAAGAATGTATAACATGTAAAGAAAGCTTCTTTGAACCAAGTCGTCAAGCTATAAAACCACAAATGATGAAAAGCATACAAGAAGAAAACCAAATCAGCAAGCCATAAGGTATTCACCAAGGTATAACATGCACCTCGAGCGAAGGAAGACAGCCATGGGGAGCCAAATTGAACGCCCCAAACATGCATATATTCTTTTTTTTTTAACTTCAGCAGAGGAGAAGAATAAACATAGTCTCATACATACAGTTTGAACAGGAGAATACCAGGAAGCAGAGAAACAAAACGAAGCCCCGAAGCAAGAGTTTTAACAACCCTCAACAGTAAATATCATCATTTGCACATGTTCCAAAATAAGAGGGCAACAGTAGGGAACGATACAAGGCCCCCAAATGATTTCAGATTTTGCAAAGAGGGCACCCAAGTTTCAAATTTTAAAAAATAAATATCCCAACAATTTCAGATTTTGCAAAGAGAGCACCCAATAGCTTCAGATTTTCACGAACAAGCCACCAAAATTTCAGATTTTAAAAATGAGGATTTGCATAAGGTGCATCAAGGAAGGATTCAAATGTCTCACCACTAACTTTGATGCAAATATGATAAACTAAATTTCCCTGCACCATTTCAACAAACACCTAGCATGCAACTATAAATCCACCAACCTAGGATTAAAAAAACCTCAATTTTCTTTTTTCTTTTTGACTCTCAATCATCCAAATAAAGGCGTCAGAAAAAATTTCAGCGTGAAAGAGAAGCACCACGTCAAATGGCTAAAGAAGAGAAAAAGAGAAGATGTTACCACTTGGCGTTGAGCACACAAGAAAAACAAGATAAGCTCTAGAAACAATCCGACAGCACCTGCCCTTTCTCAAGTAATTTCAACTAGACAAAACCTCCCCAAAATGGGGTTTCTTATAGGCAAGAGGGAAAGGAGATGGGGAGAAATCTCCCCATCGCGTGTGGCTCGAAGAGCCGAGCGGAGCAAGACGCTCCCCATGCGGGCAGCTCGAGGAGTCGCAAAGGAGCAGAAGATCACGATAAGGGATAAGGGATGGGCGACTGCCGTGCGCAAAGGAGATGAGGGAGAGAGAGGGGTTCGGTCGGGCGTGCGAACGGGAGACGGGGAGAGGCAGACCGAGCGAGAGATAAATCTAGGGATTTAGGATTTTAGGGAGGGAAAAAAAGTTATATAATAATAATAGTAATAATAATAATATTATTATTATAATATACTTCATTTTGTGCATTTTCTCCTAGACACGCCATCGTCATAAAATAAACATCTCCCTTAGGATAAATCTACGTTCCGGACGCGTCGGCGCAATCCGTTTTGTCATCCGGGGTTGTTTGGACAACCTCGTCGATAATCGGGTCAGAAAATGTGTCAAATTCGACTTCCGTCAAAATTTTGGTTCGAACTCAATTGATCAGAATGGTGTAAATGGTTTTCATGAGAAGTCTAGAAAATATTTGAAGTGATTTTGAGTTGATTGGAATTGTCAATTTGGTAGATTTTGGTCACTTAGTCAATTTGGGGCGTTGGGTTAGACTTGGGCTTAGGTTGGGTTAGGTTCAAATTGATGGTTCAAAATGGTTTAGGGGAATGTTATAAAGAGTTTTCAACATATATCGAGTGTCAATTTTGGGACTTGGGTATTTAATTTGGTTGAATTTGGGGTCATAACCAATTTGAGGGCAAATCATATATCGAGTGTCAATTTTGGGACTTGGGTATTTAATTTGGTTGAATTTGGGGTCATAACCAATTTGAGGGCAAATCATATATCGAGTGTCAATTTTGGGACTTGGGTATTTAATTTGGTTGAATTTGGGGTCATAACCAATTTGAGGGCAAATCATATATCGAGTGTCAATTTTGGGACTTGGGTATTTAATTTGGTTGAATTTGGGGTCATAACCAATTTGAGGGCAAATTTGGGGATTTTGAATGTGGGTCGAAATTGAGTGAAATTGAGGCTTGACCAAGGCCAATTAAAGGTCCAATTTGATGTGTAGGATCGTTATGAAGAGTTTAGGATTCAAATTGAGGCAAATTGAGATCAAATTTAGGTCAATTGAAGAGTTTAAATTGGTTTCGGGGACAAAAAACTGAATTGGATAATTGGTGAGATTGAGGTGTCAACTATCCTGATTTGAGCCACGGACCAATAGAATCTCTATTTGGGTCTTCTATGTACTGGTGCTAGCTAAATCCTAGCTTAGTGCTAGAGAGTCTAGGAGACCATCTACATGAGTCTCCCAAAAGATCAAGTGATGAAAGTCAACAAGTTTGGGTTTCGGGTTGTGAGTGAATGGGGGTGAAAGTGAGTAACAGTGAGTGCAAGTATGTGAAACAACTCCAGACCAACACCCAGGGTCAGCCCTAAAGTCAAGCAGCCCTATGGAAACTCATCTTGAGCTCCTCTATATTGACCCCACCTACTAAGTGCTAAAGGTTATGACCAATATGTGGAACTTCAAGTTGAGCAAATAGAAGTTTAGAATTTCTAAAGGTGGGGGTTCTTTTATAGTCTTCTAAGAATAGTCAACAGAAAAGTCCTATGGCTAGAACTTAGGCTACTAAAGAGAAAAATTAAACCTCAACCAAAAGTGAGGTCAACAAATATCAACCTTGAGAGGCTTACCGTAAGCAATTGCTAAGGAGTGAAGAATTTTCAAGTTGAACATATGTAATTTTAACCCCGGAAACTTTATCCAAACAAGAATGATAGGGGACTCCGCTTTTGGATCAAAATCGACGGTCCATTTCAGAATTTTCATAAAATGGTTGTCAATCTTGATAAATTTTCAAGAAAATATATGAGCGTAATCGACACCATGAGATAGTTAAATAAGTATATGTCGACCGTTAAGTAATCCAATATTTCAACTGCCCAATAGCTTCATAGCCTCAAAATTTTTTCTGATGATCTCAAGTTTTGGGTTTCCATAAAAGAATTTTCTCACAAGAGCAAAGCGCCAAGAAGACGTGAGAGTATTGGTTTCAATTTCAGTAAAAATAAGAGCAGACTTTCTTTTTTTTTACCAAGCTTTTTAATAAAAGTGTGATCCCCACCACCTTCAAGAACCTCGTGAAAAAAATGTGGAACATTGAGGGAATTGTCAACACAAAAATCAGGCTCCGAACTCACAGACATAGCACCTGCGTAACTCTGCTCCATCTGAGTGCCCATCCGAGTGCAGCAGACAGCGCAACCGAACAAGTCACTGTGCAGAGCGAAGGAGGAAACCGAGTTGTTTGCACAAAAGATGAAAGTAGTGGCAGAAACAAAATTGCAGGAGTTGTCGAGCAGAAACAGTCGCGGTAGCTGTCAAACGGAAGTCACAAGCTTTGTCAGACACGACGACGACGCACAACGCAGCCCGACAAATACGAGCTCTTAAGCCAGACAAAGCCAACGACGTAAATTGAAGCAGTGGAAATCGACGTGACATTCACAACCAACCGATGTGCTATATCCTGTTGTCGTTCACTTTTATATATATATATATATATATATATATACATAAGATTAGTTTTTGCTTTGTGTGTGTGTTATTTTATTTCATAAGATTAGTTTTTTCTTTGGAGGTTTTTGTTCGGCTTAACGTCAGTAGTTGTTTTCCCGTCTAGAATTGTATATGAATGTGAGAATGTATTTCAGTTGTAACTTGTCCGAGGTTTTCATATTCTCCAAGGATTTGAGTGTTGCTCTGGTTGTAATTCGTTCCCGTGGCGATAGTTATCCTTTACCTACTCCCTCTTACCTGTTTGTTGTCCATCCGCATGAGCGCTAGCCCTCTCCCACTTTCCCTGCCGGCAGCTACTACCCCACTTTCCTGTTGCCGCTATTCATTTCCATGCCCTCCTGCTATTACCGCCAACCCATTTCTTAGCCCCGAGTGTTGTCGTAATCACATTCCATCTCACATGTTGTTGTCGCATTCAATTCCACATCTCCAGTTGCCCTTACAGCCCTCCAATCCAGCAAGACCTGCCACAACCCTCTCCAATTCCCCCAGCTATTGCCGCAAACCCTCCACCTTATCCTGCTGTTGTCTTCACCCCCTCTAGCCTCTCCTCTTGCTGTCACACCAGCGAGCCAGTCATCCCACCTGTTGTCCAGCCAGTGTTTACCCCTCTCGCTTTCATCTTAGAGTTGTTTGTGTGTTTTGTGTTGTTTTATTCTTGTTTTGAAGAGTTTTCGTTGTAACCTTTGAAAGTTTAGCAATAATATTCACATTTTTATTGTGGTTTGGGTTAACTCTGGTATCAATATGTATAACAAGATTCAATGGTTACTTGTTGTAAAATTCATAAGGCATATAACCTAATTTCACTAGAATTTTATGTGACAAATAATTTGGTTTCATAACAAACTCGTATAAAGAAATCATTAACCTAAGTAGGTGAAATCGCTGACAAATTGAGAGTAGCTATTAAGCCTTAAATGAGTAGGCATAAACAAATCATGAGGCCAATTCACTAAAGTTCTGCCAACCTCATCTTGGGCATGCCAAATTCGTCCAAATGTTTGTAACAAGGCATTAGCAAAACTAAAAAGTTAAGGAAAATTTATATAAATATCCTACAGTTCTTATATATTTACAAATATCACACCTAAAGTTTGATATTTATATTTATAACACTTTGGTATTATAAACCCGTGTTTCACTTTTAAAAGTTAGTGTGAGTGATATTTTTTATATGATGTTAAAATTTGAGTGTTATGCATGTACATATGGAAGTTTATGTGTTAAAAATGCAAATATATAAGAATTGTGTGGTATGTATGTAAATGCCCTAAAAATAAAGCATTGATGGTTATAGATCAAGAATTCAAAAATTGTTTCCACTTACTTGCATGATTTGACCGGTATAAATTTAAGGAGGACAGAAATACCAACTCTTAAAAGCTTTCTTGCTTCAAGAACATCTTCCGCAACGGGAATCATGCTTTTTACAGGATAATCTCCAGCCCGGTTCCTAATTCTTTTTAGAATCATAGGTCTTAGCCTCTTCCATTCAACTTTTGAACTATAAAATCTTAAATTCATGACCCTATTCATCTCTCCAAATGTCATGCAACCTGAAGGCAATACAATATACAACTTAAATCAAATGCCTCAGAAGAAAAAGGTTAAAAATACAAATATTAAATTGAGTTCTCATGAGAAGGACCTTTATGCAAAAAGATCAAATTAAACGATGATAAACCTCCTCAGAATATGATAGTTAATGAAAATATCAACGAAAACAAAGGGAGAAAATGACTTGAAACAGTTACGTACGCGCGCGCTCACGCCTGCACACCCACACCCACACATACACATGGGCGTGCGTGCACAGAGAGAGAGAGAGAGAGAGGGAGAGAGACTACATTCACTACACAGAACATTGTATCATTGCTAAGTAATTGTTTAGCAAAGAAAAATACTAGCAATGTCAAAACATGTGACTTGGGTTATGCCCAACTTAAATACCTTGATAATCCTAAAGACTGTAATGGTATTATAAGTTTATAGCACGCGCACACACACAAAATATAAACGGACACGTGGCAACTCACATACAAAATATAAAGGGACACATGTGGCCTTATTAATTATACTGAGGGGGTAATAATTGGAATTTACCTCTCAAAATCTGCATCACAACCATATAAACTTTAAAGCATAGTGACCCTCAAGTTAAAAAAAATTGTGAACAAACAATCTAAGACGTTTAATGTGTTCTATTGAGTGTCATTTTTCATTTAATTATAATAAATTAAGATCATTTTAATACAACATATCCACATCTTTTTAGGTCTACCTCTACCTTTCTTAGCATAAATCAAATTTAAAGCACCTACCATCCTAATCGGAGCATCAGATGGTCAACATTTAAAGTGACCAAACCATCTAAGACAACTCTCTGTAATCTTTTTTGCCACTAGATCCACACCAATCTTTTCATGGACACATTCATTTCACATTTTGTCCTAAGTGTCAAGCCACTCATCCATCTAAACATTATTATCTCAGCAACACTTAACTTAGTTTTACGCTTCTCTTTTAAAGGCCAACATTCTGCACCATAAAGCATTGAAGTTCCCGCTACCATCTTATAAATTTTTCCTTGAAGTCTAAGGGATATATTTATATCACACAAAGGCCCAATGTATTCCTCCACTTTAACCAACAAAATTGAATTCTACTAATAACATCCACATCCATATCACCATAACTTTGAACAATAGACCTGAGATATATAAAACCTTCATACTTTATAATGATTTGATCACCCAAAGTTACAACTCTAGCACTATATCTACGATTGCTAAAATTTCATTCCACTTATACAGTTTTAGATAATTTCAAACGAAGGATTTTAGACTCTAATGTAGACCTCCATAAATCAAGTTTTTTCCTAAACTTTTTTCTAGTCTTATCCACAAGAAGGATATCATCAGCAAAAAGCATACACCAAGGTACATCCTCCTATAAATGTCCAGTACGAGCATCCAAAAATAAAGCAAAAGGATATGGGCTCAAAGTCAATCCCTTATGTAATCCAACTAAAATAAGAAAATACTTGGTCAATCCTGCTTTTGTTCGAACACAAGTAACAGCTCTAGCATACATATCTTTAATGACTAGAATATAAGTCATATCAACACCTTTTTTTTCTCTTCAATGAACTTCTCTTGAAACCTTATCGTAAGTTATTTCTAAATCAGTAAAAATCATATGTAGATCCTACTTGCTCTCTCTGTACTTCTTCATCAAACCTCTCAATAAATGCATAGTTTTCATAGTAGACTTGTCTAGCATAAATCAAAAACTGATTATGAGAAATCTTTGTATAAGGGCTTAACCTATGTTTAGTTACTCTCTCCATAATTTTAATGTATGACACATTAAATTAATTCCTCTATAATTTGTACACACTTGTGCATCCTTATGCTTAAAAATAGGGACTTAAATACTCTTCCTCTACTTCTCAGGCAACATTCTAGTTTTAAAAATAATATTAAAGAGTTTAGTGAGCCAAAAAACTTCCAAATCTCCTAAATTGATTATGAAAAAAAAAATTCTATATGTTTAATAATATGCCAACTAAACTTAGACGTGGCTAATTAAGCTTAATGTGCTAAATCAACTACTTCATAGTGCACCCTACTAACCCAACGAAATTAGTGATACAATAGTAGCTACTAGCTAGTAAAGGTGAACTTTAAAAATTTAAATTTTAATGCAAATTGTTCGACAATTTCATATAAAATCTATATCCACCAAAATAACTTAAAACAACCACAAACCCCAACATCCACAAAAGTTAATCACCAATGAGAATAAAAAAAATGAAATCATTCATCTCAATAAGGATACAACCCACAAAAATGCAGTATGCCTCCGCACGTCAAATGGGATTCATCAATTCACCAATAGTGACTCATTAGTATAAGTGGACAAAAAGACCATTAGAACCAAAGAAGCAAATAAAACCAAAACTATTAAATTGATTTTGTTTTATTTCGTTAAGTTTGAATTTTGAATAAACATAAAATATTGAACCAAATTGATTTGGCGAATAAGTAATAGATCATTAAAGAATACACAGTAATGAACACTCATTTATAATTTAAATGCCAACTTTATCAATTATTAATACTTCGTTTGATAGATTTTTACTTATATATGCACGTAAATAATTCTTTACAACCATTCCTAATGCATTGATTCAGTAATATTTACAACCACATCGCCATAGAATTTTTTATCAAAATCGAAAACCGAACCAAAAGCAGTTCAATTTTGTTTTTGTAGTTCAATTTAATTCAATTCCAAACATAGTTCTGTTAGGAACGAAACCAAATAGTGCCCACCAATACTCATTGGTTCATTCTTATGATTAAAAACAGTACTTAACAAACCAATGAGATATAAAACATTCTAATATGTTCATAAAAAAAAAATGCCACACAATCTAAACAAAAATGGACAATATGAAGCTCAACATTAACATCAAAAGCCCGCAACAAGCAATCTAAACAAAAATGAACAATATGCAAATAAATAATTCGAAGTTCTTGAGAAGAATATGGAAAATACCCCCAATTTTGTTAAAAATCGAATTACTGCCAACACAAAGGAAAGCATTAAACCCTATCCGGCAGTAACCTCCAAAAGAAGATCTCCTCAGTTAGGCAATGACAATTCTGAGAACAGTGATGCTTATCAAGGGCTCCTAGAACCCTCTCACTGCAAATTCGTGGCGGAGGGAAGACAAAACAAAAAAAGGTTGGGGAACGATGGAACAGGAAAGAGATGAGAGAAGAAGTTAGGGCATCAAACCTTCCCATTCAACACTTGAAGCTTCGCCGGCGGCCACCGAGATCGGGTAACCTCCCTTGTGACTCGTGGATCTCGCGTGATTTCTCCTCCCCCTGGCTCGTCGTTTCCCGCTCCCTCTCCTGCAGTGGAGCCGGGCCAGTCCGGCCAATGGTCCGAATTACCAAATTATTTAGGAGGATTTACATAATTCTTTTTCATTATATTTGATGGTATATTATGTGCATAATAAACATTTGTGATGAATTGATGGCCTCCATTTTTCAAACGTACTAGAATTTTATATTCTTCTCCAATTGAGACATTTTCCAAATGAGACACTTTGGCATTTCAAACATACGAACATGTTTCTTTCTCCGCACATGTGATTGCTTGCACTAGTGTCAAGATATCATATATTTGTTCGGTCTTTATATGTCCTTGCATGCTACTATTAAAGTTTATTATTTCTTACTATTATCTTCTACAATGTTGGTTTTCTTCTTCACTTTTTCCGGATAATTACATTCGACAACATAATGATCATTTTTTTTACAATTACAACCTTTAATATTTGATTTGTCATATATTGGTCGTGAATTTTCTCTTTTGGGACCTCTTAATGTTTGTTGGTCTGTACTTCTATCTTTATTAATGAAGTTGTTGGAATCATTGTTTATGTATTTCTTATTTCTCTTGTCCACAACCACGTCCTACGTTGTGTACTTTGGACTTCTTCCACTTTGGCATTTATCATTGTCAAAGCTTTCTTCTTTCAAAATTGAGTTGAAGAAGTTATATCATTGCTTCTTGTTGTGCTTTCTTCCTCTTCAATTTTTCTTTAAGAGTATGCAAAGAGACCAATAATTGCTATGCACTCATTGTTTCTAAATCTTAAGTTTTTTTCAATAGTAGGAATAATATATTCTAATTTTGGATTAAGAGAGCAATGAATTTTTTCTATAAATTTTATTTCACTCACATTTTCACAATTTCATTTTAATTGATTGAAAATAGTCAATACCATAAAGAAATAATCATAAATTAATTTAGATTTCTCTATTAATAAAAGCACGCTCACTTTTAAGAGTTTGAAGGCGAATCTTTTTAACTTGCTCCACTCTTTTGTTGCAAGTTTGAAGCTTCTCACAAAATAAATGGGATAGAAAGCATTTTTGTCCCACTTTCTTGAATCTCTTTGATAGAGCAATATCATCTTGCTCTCTATAATCCTTCTCGATGTTATCCTTCATATCTTGTGCACTTAGTAAAGAATTCATCTCGATGCATCAATTATTGTAATTTGTCTTGGTAAGCATTGTAACTTTGTAGGAAATCATTCCTCCATTTGACATCACTTCGGTACCTCTTAGTTGAGAGAACAAAATTTTGTGAACTCAACATCACAAAATATAACTCTCAAACTCACAAAAACTCTATTTAAAAGCTTACAAAACTTTTCTTGACACTTAATTCATAACCCATAAGAGTATAGGGTATTTATACTTTTTAAAAGTAATTAGCACTGCACATTATTCACCAATAAAACTAATATTAACCATTCATTTTTCACCTACCACGCACAGGTGTATCGCATGTCTCACATAACAATGACTTTTCAACATATCAACTTTTCAACAAGTTTAATTATTTAAAATAATTTTATATCTAACACAAAATAAGTTTATCTCTAAGTGTTATATTTTAAAGCACATATTTAATACAATGCAAATCAAAAGACATTTTAAATAAAACTTTTAACAACTTAACTATTATATTTTTCCAATTCTTTATTTATGGTCTATACAAAAGTTATATGAAAAATACATTAAGGGTCTGCTTGGGGTGGTTGCAGCTTTTTAAAAAGTGATAGTAAAATTATGATAGAGAAAGTAATTTTATAGAAAGCTACCATGAGATATATATATATATATATATAATTTTTTTTTTTGAAAACACAGTCAATTTTCTTATAATAATCACACTATAATATGTCATGTTGAAAAAAACAACTTTCTACCGCATAAATTCCTAGAAATTAACAAGAAAGCAATTTCTCAAACAGAGCTGTGACGACGATCTGAAATGCAAAGTTAACATAAAGTAGTCTTAAACATATCCAAGTGTCTTAGTGAAACTCACTCATGCAACAAAACAAAATCCACTTGTACAAATCTTAAGAGTATAGGGTATTTATACATTTTTAAAAGTAATTAGCATTGCATATTATCCACCAACAAAACTAATATTAACCATTCATTTTTCACCTACCACGCACACGTGTATCACATATCTCACATAACATTAACTTTTCAACATATCAACTTCTCAACAAGTTTAATTATTTAAAATAAGTTTATCTCTAAGAGTTATATTTTAAAACACCTATTGAATACAATGCAAATTAGAAGACAAATTTTAAATATTTTTTTAACAACTTAACTATTATAGTTTTTCAATTCTTTATTTTGGGTCCATACAAAAGTTATATGAAAAATACATTAAAGATCTGTTTGGGGTGCTTACAGTTTTTAAAAAATGATTGTTAAATTGTGATGGAGAAAGTAACTTTATAGAAAGTTATTATGAGAATTATAATTATATTTTTTTTCCGAAAACACATGCAACTTATTTATAACAATCACACTATAATATGTTATGTTGAAAAAAACAACTTTCTACCATAAAAATTTCTAGAAATTAGCAAGAAAAATGTTTCCCAAACTGAGTTGTGGCGGCGATCTGGAATGCAAAATTAACAAAAATTTGTCTCGAATATATCCAAGTGTCTTAGTGACACTTAATGCATGCGACAAAACAAAATCCGGTTGTACAAATCGTAAGAGTATAGGGTTTTATACATTTTTAAAAGTAATTAACATTGCAGATTATTAACCAACAAAGCTAATATTAACGATTCATTTTTGACCTACCACACACACATGTATCAAATGTCTCACATAACATTGACTTTTCAACAAGTTTAATTATTTAAAATAAGTTTATTTCTAGCATAAAATAAGTTTATCTCTAAGAGTTATATTTTAAAGCACCTAATTGAATACAATGCAAACAAGAAGACAAATTTTAAATAATTTTTTTAACAACTTAACTATTGTAATTTTCCAATTCTTTATTTTCGGTCCATACAAAAGTCATACGAAAAATACAATAAAAGTCTGCTAGGGGTGGTTACAGCTTTTTAAAAAGTAATTGTAAAATTGTAATGGTAAAAATAACTTTATAGAATGCTACTATGAGAATTATAATTTTTTTTTTTTTTCCGAAAACACATCCGAAAACACAGATAATTTTCTAGATAATTTTCTTATAACAATCACACTATAATAGCTCGCGTTGAAAAAAATAAATTTCCACCACAAAAATTCCTAGAAATTAGCAAGAATGTTGTTTCTCAAACAGAGTTATGACGACGGTCTGAAATACAAAGTTAACAAAAAGTTGACTCAAACATATTCTAAGTGTTTTAGTGAGACTCATTGCATACGACAAAACGAAATCCACTTGTACAAATCATATAAAATTTCAGCTTTGTATGAACAGTATAAAAGTTCAACTTTTTGAAAATTTCATTAATATTCATAATCAATGTTTCAAAACTTTCTTTTTCAAACTTTGGTGGAGACTTGTGCTCTAAGCCGATAGTTCTTGCCTTGAACTCAGGTTCGTTAAATCTAATTGAGCTGATTAATTTAAAATTTTGTAATTTTAATTTAATATTAATTTGTTTATCCTATTTTATTAAAATTAAGGTTTGTAGCCCGCATATTTTCTAATTGTTGCCCGTCCTTTGAGATGTGAATCATATGACTCATTGGGCACAACACCCTCTATTAATATTTATTAACTCAAATTAATACCTTTAAACAAACATTTACGTACTCCAAATCTACAATTTTCTCTTGAACGAAACATCTCATGACTGCTAACAAAAATATTTCGATCAGATTAGGTCGACTGCATCCCTAAAAAAGTAGACTAAGGTACACGATAACACGAAATGATATATTTATAAGATCTTAATTGGGTTCACCATCATTCCCCCAATCATATGCTCTCAAAACTTATAATGATAAATTCCTATAATTTAAATTTAAAACTCAATTAAATTAAATATTATAAAACCATAATTAATGTTATTGTACATTAAGTAATCAACGCTTTAATGATTAACTTTAATAAAAATATTTTCTTATTATTGAGAAGTGTAATTAACTATAGGGGTTTGAGTCTATGAGAAATCTCCAACCTCATGTCAAAATGCTCTCACAATATGAGAGTGAAATATTTGGGTAATGTCTTATTTACAATCTAATATGCTTTATAAAAAATTGATTCATAATCCCAAGTAAACCGACTCATTCAATCTTTGAGGTGGCATGAGTTTTTGGAGCCCACATTATATAAATAAACATTTTGCTTATAATAAAGTTACTCCAATTAAATCATTTTTCATTTTTATTTCAAATTTTTACTGATTGTATTTATGAAATTATGAGATGTACCAATTAATATTATAAAATATAAATCCACGTTCCATAACTGTATCTCATGCATTCTGTCATCCGCACTATACAACTGAATACTTGTAGAACAAACATGCCCCATAAAATGTGACAATAATTTGTGATGGGCTCAAATGAGACTCAAGTTTGTTAATTAGGGATTGAGCGGAATTGAACAAAAGTTCTATGACCCCACTAGTTAGGCTAGTGGGGTCATAGAACTTGAGCCTAACTAGCAACTAAGGGTCTGTTTGGGATAGTTTTCTATTAGCTTCGTGTTTCATGTTGCTACCCCAACTCAGTTTGGGGAATTGTTTTTTTGTTGCTTTCCAGAAATTTCTTTGACGGAAATAATTTTTTTTCAATCTCACATGTTAAACTGCTTTAGTTGTGATGATCGCTACAAAATTTATACATCTAACACTTAAAGCTCTAATATTTACTTGCATAACCCTCAAATCTTTAATCTTACATCCAAATTATCATTGTTATTAATTTTTTAAAAGAGAAATATATATATCTTCACTCATAGTTTTATCACACTAAAGCGAGACAAATGTAAATGTCAAATTTTTAAGGGTTAAAATGTATAAATATCTAGGAATTGTGTTGTACGAAGTGAAATTTGCAATTTCTAAAAAAAAGATTATTTACATTGGAAATTGCAACAAAAATTGTTGAAAAATCAGCCTTTTGTGTTGGAATCACAAATAAGCTTGCTCCCTTAATGGAAGTTCCAGCATGTATTAATTCTTTTATAAGTCTTAATAATTTCCAACGCACTCTTAAATATGACAAATTTGAAAATTGGCAATGCTTTCACATCTCTTCTGATTTCCAAAACATTTTTTAACAATTAAAGTGTGACAAATGTATATATATAGATATATATATAATATTTATGAAACAAAATATATATTTTTCATGTTTAGACGACGAATCTAGGGTGCTACTTCAATGTCATGATTCAGGGTTTGTTTGGGGCAGCTGCAGCTTATTGAATAATCTGGTGATAAGCTGATTAAAAATAATCTGCTGATAAATTATGTGCGGTAGCTATTAAAAAATTTTATTTATTTTTTTTGAAAAGCTAGACCGCAGCCAGAAAGCTGCCACCGCAACTAGACATGTACGGTGTGAAAACGTTGTTTTCAGCATTTTGAAAACGCATAAGCTGTCAAAATGCAGTTTGCCCAAACAGACCAAGTGCATTTTCAAAACGCCACCGCACCAAATAAACTGACTCAAACGGACCTTTAGAAGATGGAGCTTCTAATGTTGGAGAAGAAAAGCTGAGATTGTTTGAAGAAATGAAAAAGCTGTGTAAAGGTGTCTGACAGAAAGGATAACGAAGAAAATGATATTGGACTGAAACATTCTTCATCAGCAATACAATCTGTTCAGAAAGACAAAGCCACTAAAACAATTCTGATAAATCAATCCCAGCCTGTTGAGAATGTACGCAGCGCATCGGAAATCCATTAAAAATTTTTAAGAAAATTATATGCTGCAGAATCTCATGACTCTGCTGAAGATGACTCTTTTAGGAAAATTATAAACCCTTGTATTTTTGACAGAGTAAAAAAATATGAGTAAGAGTGCTTACGGAAGATACTCATCAGCACTAATTTTGAGGAGATCCAAGGAACGAAAGTAAGAAATGAGGTTTCAAAGAACCCACCAATAGCAAATCAAATGACCCACTGGAAGAATAATACTAAAGAGTCCACTAGCGGAATACCAAATGACTCACATGACCCAAATGCAAGCTCCCTAAACTAGGGTTAGAAGCCGACCAGGTGTAGGTCATCTGAACAAAAGATCAAAGCCAATCAAGCCGAGCATAGGCAATGACAAGCCTCTTGCCATGGCTCAACTCAAAAAAAAAGGCTCAACATTGTCGATCATCTCACAAACGCCCTTGAGATTCCTCATAAGAGGCCAAGAAGCATCTAAAATGACTCTTTCATCGAGAAATGAGCTATCAATCCGATTACAGTGATTTATTCTCTGCCCGATAACCTAGTCTCATTACTCTAACAAAAGCTCTTCACCCAAGGATCAATAGTGAGCACTAGACAGACTTCAACATGTATTACTTATTGTTAGTAATATATTGAGCTCTTTATAAGTAACTACTCGGCCAATACAGAAAAAAAGGAAAAACTAACAGTGCTTATAATAAAATATTTCATTAATTTTAAATGATCAAATAACAATAAGTAATACATGACAAGCTTTAAATTGAAAAAAAAAAAAAAAAAAGATTATACTCATCGACACAAAGAAACAGAAGTAAATTAATTGGAAAATATCGCTTCTCTGATCCCCAAATTTTTTAAACTGTTCTCTCTGATTGTGTTTGCTCCATTCCTGCATAAGAACAAGCATACATTATTAGCTAATCATATACTTTATCATCATCTCTAATCTCTACATTTAATTTCAGATTTGTTTTCAGAAACATCTATATACTAAAAAATAAAAATTCTTATAAAAAACAGAACCTTAACATCATCAAAATAATCAATTCCAAATTTAATTGTTTTCACTATCAATATCAATCTAATTAATCCAACTTATATTTCACTTAGGATCAGTTCGAGGCAGCTTATAAGTGCGGGAGCATTTTGAAAACGTCGCGGTACTTTTGGATCGCACATTTTGACAACTTATCAGAAAATGCGGTTCCATTTTTACAATAAACGTGTGACTGTTTTTAAAGATAAGCTGCTTATCTCAAAACTCACAAGCTGCCCCAAATTATATCTTTTAATTTCAATCCATAAACGCCTTACCACATACTGCAACGCCTAAACCACCCTTTCCTGAATGACAGCCCTGAGCGATTTCTTCATCACGACAGTAAAAGCAAAAGTTTCCGACGTATCAACCTTCTCCCCCGGCGGAGCCGACCACTTGAACTCCCTCACCATATTCGCCAGCAAAAGCTGAACGTGCAGCATCCCCAACGTCGCCGCCGGGCATATTCTCCGGCCAACTCCAAAAGGCATCATTCTGACGCCCTTTGTTCCGGTGACATCCGTCTCCCACCCTTCGCCGCCTTCCATAAACCTCTCCGGCCGCCACTCCTCCGGCGACTTCCACAAGTCTGGATCTTCGGTCACCCACGCCGTGTAGAACTCGACGCTGGCCGCCGCCGGTATGCGGTAGCCTCCAAGCTCGGCGTCTCTCGTCGCCGCGTGTGATAGGACGAAGTGGCTGGGCGGGTGGCGCCGGAGAGTTTCCTTCACTACCGCTGAAAGGTAGCTCATTTTCTCTACGTCTTCTTCGGTTATCCTTCCCTTAGTCATTTTCACCTGAAAACAATAAATATTTCTCATTAATTATCAGTAATATCTAGTAAATTACGTATTAGCTATTAATTATTTCTAATAATTATAATTGAATTTATTTAATGTAGTCATAATATTATTTCAAATTATTAAACTAAGAAAAATGAAAGCATTTGGTCATAAATTGGACTACAAGCATTTATTACGATGACTTGTTTAATTTTGAATTTGGTAGGTAATTGTAAAAAATGCTAATTATGGAATCTGTTAAAAAAGCAGGACTTTAAGCTAAAGTTTGATGGAAATAGAACAAGAAAAACAGCTTCTTTAAGTCCTTTTAGACAAAAAAGTTGCATTTCACTTTTAAAAGTTAAAATGGTGGCCTTCATATGTAAATTGGAATATTTTCGAGGTATTAATGTAAATAAATAAATAAATAAATAAATATATATATATAT